TATTGTTATCAAGATAAAGTGAAGAATTAGCGAAGCTTAAACAGAAATCAGTGTCACAAGTTCTGGAGATAGGGGTAATATTTCATTCAGTGATAATCGGTGTGACCATGGGGATGTCTCAGAATCAATGTACGTCCATTAACAATGGTTTTAAAAATTAAAAAAAATTAGGGACGCCCTTTCATCAGTTATGGATGGCCGTCTCTTATTTTTTTTTAATTTTTAAAATCATTGTTATGATCATCCGTCCTTAATTTTGTTATAAAAATTTTATTATTTAGATTGGATGGGCGTCTATTATCTGTGGACGCCCGTCCTTATTTAGGGACATCGTCCATAACCTATTAACGATCGTCCATTATTTTCGTTTATATTGTTTATTTCATTTACTGATGAACGGGCGTCCTCGTCCATAGTAAATGGCTTCCGTCCATATAATATGGACGAGAGTCCATGTAAGTGAACGGTTTCCATAGTTGATGACACCGTTCACTAGAAAAAAAAATTTGAACGTGAAACATGTCTGGTGTGAGTCACGAGACACGTAAGTCTGGTAATTTCGTTGTCTGTAGCATTATTGATAAAGGGATAGATAAGATCAGGGATCATAGTATACAAGGATTAATAATTCAGGAATATGGCTATGATTCCTTTGAGGAATATAATTATTGTTAGGAGTAAATAAGATCAGAAATATGCTATGCTATATGTGTGTAAGGAATATTATTATAGCTGGGAGTTCACTTAGCAAAAATAATAGCAAACATTGAGATTAACATGTTGAATAATTGAATATAGTACAAATATTTAACGTTATTCCACTAGTACTATAAGCAATGATCGATATACAAAAGTACAACACCCCTGTGCTAATTAATAGATGGAAACAATCTAAATTTCTACACCAACCATGATTTTAATCAATCTTTTTACATCCCAGATCCTATATATAACTCAATATTCTCCTAACCTTAAATTAGTCTTCACCCTCTAAATAGGTTTACATACATGAAATTTTATTCTTAAAAAAAAAAAAAAAAAAAAAATGAAACTCATATTTATATTTCTGATCAAACTCACATTTCTTCATACAATTATATTTATCTTTTAATAACTTTTCCAGATTAAAAAAAATAAATTTACAAGTAAAAAATTTTATATAAAGAGTCACAGTATCCCATCAGAATTAAATGACATCGACGTGGCCTTATTATTATTATCATTTTTTATTAGGATTAAATGATATCTATATGTACGAGACAAGAATATGTTACATATGGAATGATATTTGAGAGAATTTTTTAAATACCATGGTTCGCATAATCTCCTCAACAAAACATGTGATATGGTTAACCTTCGTAATCAATCCCATTTACAGGAAGAGCTTCACAATTGTATCCAATTTCTAAAACAAATTTTAATTTGTTTACTCATAATAGAAAAGGCTGGGGTCCAACTTTACTTCTCAACTACTCGTTGGTTAAATTAATAAAATTGAAGATGTTATTAATGCTTACGCATCTCATGTTTAAATTGTTTCTCAGTTTAGTAATTAACATCGTGCCATGCTTCTTACTTTATTGAAAAATTAATCAGTACTATTATACCTACAAAATTAGTATACAAAGTGATGTATCATTAATAAATAATTAAAATATCATTCATCATTAATTAATTAATTGCTTTTTCATTTTCAATCATCCATTTATACACTTTGTATGCAAGACTTCATATATAAACTTTGATTTGTAGTATTATTCAAAATTAATACATGTTGAATTTGGGCTCCAAAACACAATTAATTAATAGCCACTTAATTTTAAAAGTTCCATTAATATGAAGCCACGATAGAGTATACGTCTATACAAATCAAATCATCTTTCGGCTCATTATATATCTTTGCATTGACCATGATATATATATATATATTTTTATTATTATTCTCATGCAATTCTACAAGATTCTAGTTTACGTATCAAGAATGGCGTTGAAATGATGTAAGATAATGTATTGTCTTTCTATAAAAGGAGAGGCCACGAGCTGTGTTGAAGAGTTTTAGTCTCAGTGAACAGAAGGAAATTTGGGGAAAAATATTGCTTTACTGATTCAACTGATACACATCTTGTTACTGTACAAGTGCATTTATATTACATTTGGATAAATTAACTCAACTAACTAGTTAACTAACTCAGGTTGTAACTAACTCAAGTAAACAACTAACTAATTGAACTGTAAACTAAACTAAAACAGTAACTGATTCTCTACAGTTATAACAAATATTTAACATCCCCTCAAGTTGGAGGGTGGTAGAGATCAAGAACCCCCAACTTGTGCAATAGCTTGGAATGAATGTGACCTCCAAGTGCTTTAGTTAATAAGTCAGTTGGTTGCTCTGCAGTTGGAATATAGGTAGTTTGTATGAGACCAAGTTTGAGCTGATCTCTGACCATATGGCAGTCAAGATCAATGTGTTTTGTCCTCTCATGAAACATGGGATTAGAAGCTATATGGTTTGCAGCCTGATTATCACAATATAGAGGAATAGGCAGTAGTTGAGACTTTGAAACATCAAACTCTGTGAGGAGTTGTACCAGCCAAAGAAGCTCACACACAATAGCAGACATTGCTCTATATTCTGCCTCAGATGAGGATTTGGAAATGGTTGCTTGCCTCTTGGATTTCAAGGATATTAGAGACCTACCAAGGAAAACACAATAACATGTTGCAAATTTTCTGGTCATAAGACAAGATGCCCAGTCTGAGTCACAATAGGTTGACAAAGTCATACTGCTTTTTGCTGGAAAAAATAGGCCTAATCCTGGTGATGTCTTGACATACTTAACTAGAGCTGCCTTCAGGTGTGATTCCTTAGGTTTGTGCATGAATTGACAAAATAAATTAACTGAAAAACTCAAGTCTGGTCGAGTCATACACAAATACAGCAACTTACCTACTAACCTTTGATATACACTTGGGTCAAGAAGTAATGGATCATTGGCTGAAGGAAACATTTCATCATATTCAACAGATGTCAATTTCAAAGTGGAATCCATTGGAATTGTGGAGGGTTTGGAACCAGATAATCCAAATTCTGAAATCAATTCTAATGCATACTTCCTTTGACACAAAATAATCCCTTTAGATGATCTAGCTACTTCAAAACCTAAGAAGTACCTTAGTAATCCCAAGTCCTTAAGCTTGAAATTAGAATGCAGGAGTTGTTTGGTTTGCTGAATCATTTCAATACTAATTCCTGTAATCACTATGTCATCCACATACACCAAAAGTACAACAATGTGTGAACCAAGCCTTTTGATAAAAAGAGAGTAATCTGATTTAGATTAACAGAAACCACCAGTGATTAAGGCTTGTGTAAGTTTATAGTTCCAAGCCCTAAAAGCCTGTTTTAATCCATAAAGGGATTTTTGAAGCCTACAAACCATATTCTGCCCCCTCTGCTTAAAAAAACCCTGAGGCAAATTCATGTATATCTCCTCTTGCAAATCACCCTGCAGGAAAGCATTATTCACATCCAATTGATAAGAGGCCAACCATTCATGGTAGCCAAAGACAAAATGGTTCTGACAGTAACCATTTTCACTACAGGGGAAAATGTTTCTGCATAATCCACCCAAGCCTGTTGAGTATATCCCTTAGCCACTAACCTGGCCTTATACCTTTCTAAAGAACCATCAGCCTTATATTTCAACTTATATACCCATTTACACCCAATAGGAACCTTACTCTTGGTACATAGTGTTCGTAAAAGACAAAATTTTACTGTTTCCAATCTAAAAAATATTTTACTCAACTTTTTATCTTTTTGTGATTATTAGTGATCGGTAATACACATTGGGTAATGTTATGTGCACTAATCAAATTGTACTAATCCAAGTATTAACAATTAAAATTTTAAAATTTTTATTTTTTTAGTTTTTGGGGGGAACTAACGTGACAATAAGAGAGGTCTGCCACATTAGTTAGTACTTGGGTTGTATGGTTTTTGGTTAGTGCATATAGCATTATTCATACACATTTTGGAAAATTTTCTTGTGTGGACTTCCATAAATTCCAAAAATCATTTCTGATAGACAGTGTCGTAAATACGTAAAGACAAAATTTTACAATTTTCAACACACAAAAATTCAGTGAACATTTTGGCTCTGTTTGGTTCACTTTTTTACACTTTTTAGAAAAATTTTTGGAAAAAAGTTAAAAAAAGTTGAATTGGGCGAGTATTATGATGTAGGATTTGAAAATAAATAAAAATACCCTCTCTATTTGTTTATTTACTAAACACCCCCCATGTTTGTTTATTTACTAAAAACCCCTATAATAAAATATTAAAAGTTAACAAAAACACCCCCAACCTACCCATAAATATGGACAGCCGGCCACCACCGCCGAAGGATGGCCGGAATCATCGTATCAGCACATGATCGGCTGGATCTTGCCGGTCTTACGCCGATATGGCCTTTTCCAGCCAAATCCACGATGGATCTAGTCAGCAAAGGCCAGATCTACGACTAGATCTGGTCATTGACGGCCAGATCTGGCAGTATTTGCTCGTCAACGATGGCCAAAGATACGACCGTCGTTGATGGTCAACGACGACAATGTGTTGGCCGTCGTTGACGACTGACTACTGCCAAAGATCTGGCCTTTTCTGGCCAGATCCATCGTGGATCTAGCCGGAAAAGGCTAGATCGACGCACTACCGGCCAGATTCAGCCGGTAGTGCACCATTATACCAGATTCCGACCATTTTCCGGCGGTGGTGGCCGGAATCTGGTAAATATGGGTTGTTGGGGTTTTTTGCAATTTCTAAAAAAATATTTGGGGGTATTTAATTAAATTAACAAATTTAGGGGGTTTAAAAAAAGTTGAATAATATTGTGAGTTTTTGTAATTTTACTATTTAACTTTATTGGGAATACTAATATTAGTATTCCCAAATGTGAGCCAAACGAAGCCTTTGTCTTTTCGTATTTATGTGTCCGATGAACCATTTCTCAGCTTCATGTAAACAATCTTCAGTAATAAACTGTCTAAATCTTCTCTATGGTTAAGGAGCAAAAAAATTTCTGTAAGAGTAAAAAAGGTTGCAAAAAATTCATATGACTTTATTTTGCTAATTTGACTATAATGGCAGGTTGAGGATGAGACAGTTAAAGGGGGTCTAAAATGGGTTAATACAGAAGTGGATTTAGACAAACATGTTATAGTTCCAATGCTGGATCCAAAAAATATTGAATCACCTGATAAGTTTGTATCAAATCTGACTAAAACTGGAATTAAAATGTCAATGCCAGTGTGGGATCTCCATCTCCTCAACCTTAGAACTTCTGATGCTGAATCCGTCGCTGTTTTTCGAGTTCACCACTCTCTTGGTGATGGAGTTTCGCTTATGTCTTATTTTCTTACTTGTACTCGTAAGATTTGTAATCCAGAGGAACCTCCCACCATTCCAATTATTCAGAAAGTAAATCCCAGCAAAACCGCTGGCCGGTTTCGAGGAAAATTCATTAAATCATGGCTGGCTATCGTGCTGTTTTGGAATATTCTTGTCGATGTTGTGATGTTTCTTGCTACGGCATTATCTCTCCTAAATGATACTAAAACGCCCCTCAAGGGTTCCTTGAGCGAACCTCGGCGATTTGTTCGCAGATCAGTGAGTTTGGATGATGTCAAGCTAGTAAAGACTGCGATGAGAACTGTAAGAATCCTTACAAAACTGAATTTAGAGTAATTGATTTAAATTTTTCGATTTGTATATACATCTGTGAATTTTCAGAAAAAAAATTGGAACTCTCTTTCGGCGGATATTAATTGGCATAAAATAGTAATTAACCCTTTACAAATATTTTGTATTTATTGGGCTTTTATAGGCAATCAATGATGTCATGATTGGAGTCACCAATGCAGGCTTGTCTCAGTGTCTCAATCGGAAATACGGTATACTTACAACGTCAAAATTAATTTCTAATTTATTAAAGCATATTCTTGCCAAATTAACATAAAAGCCAAAATCTCTGCAGGGGAGTGTAACAAGATCAACAAGGAAGCTTCAGAAGGAAGTAACGATCTTCCACATAATATTCGTCTTAGAGCAGCCTTTTTCATGAACCTTGGAAGATCTCCAGGGATCCATCATCCATGTGAGTGTAAATTTCATGCTCAATTTTAGTGATTAATATTCTATTATTTACTTGGAAATTCTCAATATTCATATGAATATTAATTCTATATTTAATAATTATAGGAGTTTGATGATATGATGAAGGAGGGTTCTAAAGCAAGGTGGGGCAACCAGATTGGTTATTTGCTTTACCCTTTCAACATCGCGTTACGAGATGATCCATTAGATTATATTCGACAAGCTAAGGCAACCATGGATAGGAACAAAGCTTCTCTAAAGGCTTCTTTCTCACATTTCTTGGTTAAATGTTTACACAAATTTCGGGGTATGAAGGTACTACAATTCTTTTAAACCTCTTTCTATGGAGATTTATAATAACTCTGCTCATACATTTGTGCCTTCTTTCCAGGTCATCATTAGGCCACTTCATCTCTCTTCTTTAGCTTTTATCCTCTTATTCTTGTTTCATTTAGCTTCTATCCTCTTCTTTCGAGCTTCCTGGTTTCCTCTTGCTTCCTTTTCATCTCCTAGGCTTCGGCCTTTTCTTCTTTACACTAATTAAACTTATTCTTGCAAAATATAAACAAAAGTACAAACCAAATTTGGTTCCCTGACTAATTATAAACTGTTCTTCATTAATCCTGAACAGCTTGCGAGATTGCCAACTCAAACAACATTGTATTTCTCAAATGTTTTTGGTCCCAAAGAAGAAATCAGTTTCTATGGCTATCCAGTGGCCTATATTGCTCCAAGTTGCTATGGGCAACCTACTGTAAGTATTTCCTGTCAGGATCTTACTTTTTTCAAGTCTATTATTTTATTTCGATTAATATAAACTAACCTTAATTAATTGCAGTGGTTATTGATTCATGTTATGAGTGACGCCAATAGAATTACCTTCACCTTCACCTTATCAGTTGATGAAGGGATAATTCCTGATCCTGAGCAGTTGTGTGCTGATCTTGAAGATTCTTTCAACTTCATTAAAAGTGCAGTCATTGCTAAAGGAATGGTTATGAATTAATTAAGATGTCATTGTTATATATATACGTATGCTTAATATTTACATAAGCAAATCAGTGTCATGTATGGAATGTAATTATAAATATGTGAATAAGGTTTAATTATTTAGTTATTTTAATAAATCATTTACTTGTTTGCTTATACAGAAGTTTTTAAGTCAAGGCATCTTGATCATATAAATTTTCTCAGTAAGTTTATATATATATTCTGTTATCACTTAAAATTATTTATTTAAAAAACTGTTGTGTATGATTTTTCCACCAAGCTTGGGCTACCGCGAGAATGTAACTCGACTCAGGATCAGTCCGACTCCACCAATTGTCTAACCTAGCAGAAGCTCGTCAATATATAGCTTGACCCAATATAAGCTAGTCGCAAACAACCCGAATAATCATTCAGTTAATTCCCAGATTACTTCAAATCCTAAATATTACAGGAATGACTAGATCAACAGCAATATATGCACAATCACAGTGTCCAATCGCAAGAATATCGGAATTGCAGTTCAGATCAATTGTAATCCCTTTATTTTCGCTCTTTCCTTTGTACAAATCTTATATATAAACTCCCTTAAATGATGGAAAAGTGGTTACAAAATTTTTACAGAACTCTCATTGTAAGCTCTCACAGTAAATGCAAAAAAACAGTGGACGTAAGCTTAAGAGTTTACCTCGCCGAACCACTTAAAAAATTCTCATTGCCATTTACTTTATTGTATTCAATACTTGTCTATCGCTGATTATCCATAATCACGCGCACATCCATTCCGATCCCGTTAAAGTCGATCGGAATTCTTTGGTTGGTGTAGATTTCTGTATCAACAAAAACAAATTACCAAAATGGTATGTGATATATATAATTGATTTTACTTATAAGATAAAGTAACAAAATGTTATTTCTTTTTAATAAAACATATAAAGAAAAAATTATAATTTGAATAATAAATATAATGAAATTAAACGTGGAAATAATACCAAAATATTAATTGATAAACAATTTTAGTAAAGAAACAACATTGATTATATGACCTATTGACTATTGTATGAGTAATAAAGCTTACAAATAAAAATAAATAAATAGATAATTTTAATTCCATTTAAATATTGGTATTTTGGTTTGCCACGTATTATCTTATTAGATCCTATTTATTATTTTTTTCTTAATTACAATTTTATTCTTTATAAAAAAATTAGTTAAAAAAAAAAAAAAAAAAAAAGGAGTTATATACATCCTATCATAAATAAACCCTTGTATTATTATTTCTAAAATTCTATTTCAATTATAAACATAAATCCTAATTCTATTTTCAACCAATTAAAATGTAATTTTGCTAGAAGTACCAAATCAATTGTATGGTTGGATGTATACAAGTTCTGGCTGAATTTTATGTTTCTTAATTGAATGTGATTTTTATATAGAGTATTATCACATAAGAAGTAAATCTTTCTTAGAAAGCAAAGATTTATTATTGGATTTGAATTACCCAAACTCACTTTGAGTACGGAGCCATCCCTGAATCAAGTGGAATTTTATCGTTGTCATTCCATATCTTAAAATATATTATGTATAGTTTAAAGTATTCCATATCTCAAAGCTTAATTAACATGTGTAGATGCAAAAAATCTACCATCATGAAAATAGGGTGTGATCCCGTGAGGTTGAGGTCACTGACAATCCGTTAGACCTGCACACATGAAAGGGCAAGCGTGAAGCTTCCGGAAAACACCGNATTTCCAAATATAATATTCCAATTATCTCAAACCAAAATGCAGTAACTACCAAGTTAATTTTACTTCGCCAAATTGCAGGAAACCGGACAGGGCTCATCATATACCAAGTTAACGCTCTCTCCCAATTTCTTCAATTCCACGGAATCAAATCCTTGGAAGTCTGCAAAATGGAGAGTTTCGCAATAGAGTAGTTGAATTAAATTTCAAAACTATTTGATACAACACTATAACAAAGTTTGCTTTTAATGATAACAAAAATTCCTCTACAATTTTGAAAAAAATACTTACACTGGAGAACTTGTAAGAACTATTCTTTTCTTCCACAATGTCTCTTGTTTGGCCTTCTCCCCTTTTGACGGTGTCCTCCTTCAATGATCTTTAAAAGCCATTGAGGCTTTCCTGTTGAGAAACAAGATATCCTATGATCATTCCAAACACCATTCCACATCCATAGCCTACCAACACCACTTTCCAACCAAGTGTGTATCATCTTCTAATTTTGAGGGTGCTTGTAGTGTCTCATCTCTTATGCATTCTTCTAACATTGCCAACTGATTTTTAATTTGTTTTAGTTTCTATGACTGTTTTATACCATTGTAAAAGCCTTTTATACGAAGGTAAGATATTGAGCCACCTTCAAATTAGCCAACTCCTCCCATACTTGCTGAACATCATTACTTGAACTTGAGGCTTGACATATGTTGATGCGTGATTTTTACACCAACGAATCGCACGTGTGAAATGTTGAGCTGACCCTGAAGACACACGTGAAAGTGATGGATAATGAGATAGTAAATGCAATGGGGACAATTTTTAAAGTGGTTCGGATGCTAAGGTAGCAAGTCCTACTTCCACTGATGCTTATACTGATGATAAAGGTCAGGTCGCTTTTAGCTGACTGACTTTACAATAATATTATAAGGTATTGAATGCTAAGAATTCTAGGGAAAGAGAGAATAATTAATCAAGCGTAAAATGTGCCAATCCCCTTTAATAAGAGAGGAGCTCCCAATTTATAGTGGGATGCATTGAGGCAATGATCACTAAATCTGAAAGTTGGTGGGATTATCCGTGCAAATCCCTCTTTATGCCACATTGCCCACATTCCAGAGTGATTTGCACGATTTAAAGCAGGGATTGGACACGTGGGAGCACCATAGCTCCTGATTGGCCTGACGCGCACCCACTATCCTGACGGAAGCAGACGGTGGTTGTTCCAATGATCTGACTTTTGTGGGCCGAATGGACCTGACGTCAGCCCTTATATTTTTTAGGCATAACAGAAGTCCCCTAGTTTTTGAGGTTTGAGGATTGAACCTTGGAAACTATAAGTCATGCCACAGCAGGATGATTTCTGGAAATTCTAGCCTATTTGAAAGTAGGTCGGGATGGCATTTTTATGAGCACGACCTCGCATATTCATTGCTTGCAGAGGACGGGCGACCTGATTTCGTCTGACGTCACCTGTTGTTCTGACGATAGGGATGCATTTAATGAAGCAATCCCTGCGCTGACAGGTGTGTTCTGTGCGTGATAAATGCCAGCCAATCGCATTAAATGCGTTGTATGCTGAAACAGTGCACTTTATCAGAACATTAAATGCATTTTACGTTGGAACGACGCCCCTTATCAGAGCATTAAATGAGAATTTGAGACGCAATTAATGCTCTGAGAGAGGTATGACCATCGTTTGAGCTTTTCAACTGGAAGGATGAAAGTTTGACTTTATCCAGTCGTTTCGTTCACCCTTCTATGCTGATGAGTGACACGTGGCCGAGATCAACGGTAAGAAACCTTTGCCGCCCAAACGTCGTTTCGATTCCGGGAAATCCAAACGCTGATTCACACGATATAAAAACCTCAAATCGTTCTCAGGCAATGTCACAGAGCCTTTTTCATAGAGAGCAAAAGATTGTTGTAAACCTGGGACCTTTGTCTTCCAAACCCGCATTTTTTCGGCATTTGACGCAGAAGCTGTTGTCATACTCCGAAAGGTAAGAGCTTCTTTGCTACTGTTTCATTATTTTCATAAGTTAGTGGCGTCAGTCTTTCGATAACCCATCGGAGACGAGACGTTTGCGTCGGCTTCGAGCCATGAATAGTGGCTCGAATCGGGCTGTTAGGGTTTTCTTTGGGAATTAGGGAGTCTGTTTTCTCCCACGTCATCGTACAAAATAGTGTACGACGGTCGGATGACCCTTCTGCTTTTCGCTTTTGCAGACTGGCAAAATAGACCCCTCAGTAACCAGATCCGAGCAGGGAACCAGCTCGTCCCCACGGGGTGCTCCTAGCGTCCCTCTCGAGGTCTTCTCGGTACTTACCGAGGACGAGCTTGAGAGGGTAATAAGCCAATATGGTATCGAGGTGGACGTTTTCCACGACCTGACGCATTCGTCGCGATATTCGTCAAGCGGCCTGGCCGCGATCTCCGAGGAGATTATCAAGGGTGGGGGACTGATCCCCCTACACCCTTTCATCAGGTCGTTTCTGGACTACTTCAGGGTCATGCCGATGCAGCTAACTCCGAACACGTACGTCATTGCTGTTGCAATTTACATCGCGTGCCAGGAAAACGGGCTGGGCGAGCTGACCGCTATGGAGCTCGGTTGCTTATATTTTCTGAAAAAGAGCAAGGACAAGGATTCGTATTACTTGTCCAGGCGACCTACTATTGCCGACGGGATACACAGTTATCCCAGCAACGCGGGGGCCTACGAAACAAAGTTTTTCTTCTTTCGTTACGATGGCCATTGCCGCTTCCAGGAACCGAGTAGGCCTCTTCCTCTTTGTTTGCTTTTTGTTTTGTTTTGGCAGACTCATTGCGTTCAAAGCGTGTTCGCTCTAACGACCTGATTTCTTTTTGACAGTTAACAAGATGACCGACCTAGGGCTGCTCTTCGATAGGAGAAGAATCGTGCACTTCGGCTCCCTACCCGAGGATAAGTGCGACGCGAAGAAACTCGTGACGACCGCGAATTTACGGAAATACAGGTTCTTCAACGCAAACGCGTCATTAGAGCCTCCACCGAGTAAGTCCTGCTAACTGATTCTTTTTCTAGTCATGAAATAGAATGCCTTTACTAACGTTGTCTCGTATGCAGCGACCATGCCTCCGAAGAAGCCAGAGCAGCCGCGATGAAGGCCTCTCAATTTTCCTCGGTCGAAGAAAGCTAAGGCGACCAAAGCTGCTCAAACCATCCTCTCGACTGAGGGGGCGACCTCGGGCCAGCCGGCCCGACCTTCCGAAACTTCTCAGCCGTAGCCGGTGGAA